GCTGTCCCCTCACCCCGTAGGTGTCGGGCATGGTGGGCAGGAAGGTGCCACCGCTGCAGGTGACGATGTCCTTCATGTGCTCAGGCTCAGGGCGGGCGCTGGGGGTGACGTGGACCTCATAGCCCTGGGGACACCGGAGTGGGGGGACATGAAGGGGACACAGCGGGGGACGCGGCCATCAGTCCAGCCCCGAGCCCCTGGGGTGGGTCCGGGCCACGCGGCTGGGGGGACAAGGACACCACCAGGGGACATTAAGGGACATCAGGAGACACCCGTTGGGGCTGTCCCTGAGTCCACCATGCTGGACTGAGGCCACATGGGGTGACAATTTGGGGAACCTAGTCCACTTAAGGGGACAAGGGGGACCTCAGGGCCCCCTTGGGGACATTGTGGGGACACCAGCGAAGGAGGGGACACCCCTCTGGCCGTCCCCAAGCCCCCCTGATGGGACCAGGGCCACATGGGGTGACACAACTTGGGGGGCCAAGGCCACTTTAGGGGACAAGGGGCACCTCAGGGCCCCCTTGGGGACATTGTGGGGACACCAGCGAAGGAGGGGACACCCCTCTGGCCATCCCCAGATCAGATTGAGGCCACATGAGGGGACACAACTCAACGGGGGACAAGGACACTTTGGGGCATGGGGCCACTGGGTGACATCAGGTGACACCCCCTGTCCACCCTGCACTGAGTCCCCAGTGGGTGCCCCACTCGGTGTGGGGACAAGGCCACCCGTGGGGAGGACAAGGCCCCTTGGGGAAGGCTTGGGGACAGTTGGGGACAGTGACCTGGAGCAGGGGGTGGCGGCGGGCGCGGCGCAGGGCCTGGGCCAGGCTGAAGCCGAAGTGACGTTCCTGCTGGCTGTCACGCACCAGGAAGGGACCTGGCACCAGGACGCGGCCACTGTGGGCGCTCTGGGGACACAGGGGGACACGTGGTGGCACCCCCTGACCCCAGGGACCCCCCCCCAGGTCCCTTCCCATCCCCAAACGTTCCCCTCTCTTGTCCTCCAAAGCCCCCGCGTCCCCAAGGAATCCACTCCATGCCCCTAACGTCCCCCTTTGTCCCCAAACACTCCTGTCCCTTGTCCCCTACAACCCCCACGTCCCCAAGGAGCCCACCCTCTGTCCCCAAGGACCCCTTCTTTGTCCCCAAGCACGCCCCCACCCCCAAAGACACCCTCCCATGTCCCCAAGGACCACCATGTCTCCAAGGAGCCCACCCTCTGTCCTCAAGGACCCCTTCTTTGTCCCCAAGGTTGTCCACCTCCCCAAAGATGCCATCCCATGTCCCCAAAGACCCCCTGTCCCCAGTGCCCCCCATGTCCCTCCTGGACTCTCTTGTCCCCAAAGATCTTCATCCCATGTCCCCAAGGACCCACTTCCCTTGTCCCTAAGGACCTCCCTGTCCCCAATGACCCCCTCGTCCCCAAGGACCCCTCCCCATGTCCCTAAGAAACACCCAAGGATGAACCTTGTCCCCAAAGACCCCCATCCCTGTCCCCAAGGCCTTTGTCCCATGTCCTCAAGGGCTTTAATGTCCCCAAAGACCCTCCCCTTGTCCCCAACAACCCCTGTGTCCCCAAGAACCCTCTCCTTGCCCCCAGAAACCCCATGCCCTGTCCCCAAGGACCCCCATGACCCCGAGATCCTGTCCCCAATGACCCTCTCCTCATCCCTAAGGCCCCCATCCCCTGTCCTCAGGGACCCTCTCCTTGTCCCCAGGGCTCCCCCTCCCCTGTCCCCCACCCCCGTGGGACCTTGTGGAGCCACTCGGGGGTGCCGATGGGGA